GCTAGAAAATCCACATTTCTCCCATTCTCTTGTGATGCTTGGATAATGCAGGACAGAGAATAGGAAGCAGGATACCAGACTGAAACAATCTTAAGTTTCTTATTAATAACTCACAAATTTGGGCATTGCTGTGAAATAGAATGCTTTGTCCATCCGAAGTTTCCTGAAGATATATGCTGCATCATAGTGCTGTGCATCTAGAAGTTCCTGCTTGAATTTACTGACTTCAGCCCAATCTTTAAGTGCAACCCTAATCTGAAATACAAAACAAACAAAAATGTCTTCAAACAAGTCAGCAACATACCTCGAAGTGTGAAGTAATTAAACAGCCTATGTGGCTAACTAAATGGATATTATAAAGGATGTCAGCACAATCAGATGCCTAAATCACCTAGCTCTAACTGAAGCAACAAACTGGAGTGCTTTAGTTTATTCAGAATTCCCAGAATATTTAACAGTAGGAGATAGAAAAATTATTTGTAGACTTCATTGTTATATGATAGATTTAAGGTTAAAAGAGAAAAGAAAATACCTCCTTTGAGATTGACTCCTGATGTTATTTTCTTGGCAACAATACAGAAGTAATTTGTAGTGCCTTGTCATGGAATTTTTTTAAAAAAACTCACACACTAGCCTATGGCCCAGGGATTTGCTGCTGGTTTCCATCCCAGTAATCTAAAGTATGAGAATACTTTTTAAATTGATGATAGTTTATATGTACACATTTCTACATCCTGCTTTTTAAATTTATTCAATGTTTCATGTATATTGCCACTCTTTAACACAGTCCTGTAAATAAGGCCATTTTAAGCCCTATATGACAGACAGCTGTGAAGCAAAAAATCAGAGCATACTATTCACCACTCATGCTCATACCTTTTATATTAAATAAAATTTCAACTCCCCAAGACTAAAGAACAGTGGTGTCAAATTTGATTTCATTGAGGGCCGCATCAGGGTTGTGTTTGATCTGGGTGGGCGGAAGGCCCATGGCCAGGGTGGGCGTGGCCAGCTCGACGTCATTTGTGTGATCAAATGCCACTTTTTCTAGTAGTTTGTTTTGCAAGGACTCTGCAAGCGAAAATGGAGCTCATGAGGGCAGTGCATGCCCCCCCTCCCCCCCGGGGCTCGGTTTTTGGCTGTGACAGCCTCCTGCAGTCAAAAACAGGCCTTCCGGGCCCCATTTTCACTGGCATAGGCACCATGGGCCAGTACTTCACTGCTTCTAGGGCTGCCCTGCAGGCCAGATCTAAGCACCCCGTGGGCTGGATCCGGCCCATGGGCCTTGAGTTTGACACCCCTGCTAAGAACATCAGTTGCATGCAAGATTACTGGACAATGAATTAAAAGCAGTTTAAGTTTACCTTTTGTTTTGGTTGACAGAGTTGTGTGTTGTACAAACCATACAGAAGATAAAGAGCACCAACTCGGATCTGGAAAGTGTAAGGAGGCAAAAAGTAGGGCCATACCAGGGCTAAAGCTTCTGTAGTGAACTTGATTTGCTCTGGAGTCCTTATTTTACCACTACAGAAAAAAAAAATACAATATATATCAACCTCAACCAAAATGTAAGGTCTTAGTTGCAGAAGAAATTAATTATCGACTACCTACATCAAAAAGAAGAGATTCAAATATGCCATTTGTTTTTCTATCAAATCTGCACAAGGTCTGCTATAAACCTTATTCACTTGTTTATTGCAGTAACATCTTAATTTATAAAATAAGAAGTAGAACAGATTACATTTCTCTATATACCATGCTTGGAATGGTAATTACTTTATTTGAGCTTCTTAATTAAGAATTATTTAAAGCAGGAATACACCTTTTAAGAACTCTTGGTTTTTTTCTGCAGTCATAACTATCTGTAGAAATCTGTATCTGTCCTGTTTGATTATTGTACCAAACCAACAACCAAACTATCCACCTTTTCTCTCCTGTTTTCTAAATCCAATGCTCTAAGTATCTAAATAATAGAGTATCTATGGAGATTCTCAGTCATCCAGGTCATGGTTGTCCCAAAGGTGCTTTTTTTCAAGAGGCAATGGACTTTCTGGTTTTTCTTTGCAGACATTTTGCTTCTTCTCCAAGAAGCTTCTTCAGTTCTAAATAATGGAATGTTAAGAATTTAAGAGTATTAAATAAATATACCGGTAGTTGTATTGGAGTAATCAATTGTATCAAGATTTATACTAACGCAATCAAAAGGAAAAAAAAATGTGCGGGGGAAAAACAAACGTGCAGAGGATTAAACTACCAGAATGCCAAGCCAACATCCATCATATCTGGAAGTTCTCGAAGTTGCAATTCCAAGGCATCTAAATGGGGCAGGCTGCTCCAAAGATATAATATGCTCCATCCTAATTTTTCTCATCCCTAACTACAGTGACTAGGGACTGTGTAACTAAAACGTTAGGACAGCACCATATAAAAAATGCAGGAAGATTTCACTATTTCTCTTAACTCTAATTCACTTTTTAAAGGCGGGGAGGGGGGAGGCAGAGGAAATTCAACCGTGTTCCAAATAAACTTTGCACAAGTCTTGGCGTGGAGGCTCAGGGCTGTCCATAGGTGGACAAACAGCCCCACCGCCGCCGCTCCCTCTTCTCCTGGGACGAGGGACTTGAAACCACGAAGGGGTGACAAAACAACAAGAAAAGCGACTCACTAAAAAATGGTGTCGAAACGATTCTGCCTCCAGAGCAAGGCGAAATCTTCGAAGCGGACACTCTCGGCTTGCTGGAACCGAGTAAGCAAAGCCTCAAAGTCCGTCCTCAGCCCGGGCCACCCGTTCATGATGTACGACCATCCACCGTGCGGGAGAACCCACGTACGGCAGCACACACACACCCCCACCGCCGCCTCCAAAGGAGTTGACTGCGCACGCGCAAACGGCAAACAAATTTGCCTGCCTTAACTCGTTCCTCCGGCCAAGGAAGAAAAATTTCGAATCTGCTTAAGGCAGATTCTCAACAAGGCAGCCTTCGAAAGAGTTCATCCAATCTGGGGGCGGAGGAAAAGAATCCGACCAATCCGAGTTAACTTTGTGTTCTTCGCTCCGCCCACAGGTCTTTCTTCCCTTTCAAAATCGCTTTTTTGGGGGCTGACGTCACCATCCTGGAAGGCGGAGAGGGCGTCGTTTTATTTTTCTTTTTTTGTGTCGGAATCGGAACGGATGAAGCATCCTGGGCAGATATCAATTACTGGGGTTTTTTGCTGCGATTTTACTTATTTAAGATTATCGATACAAGAGGAGAGAGAGAGAGAGAGAGAGATAAATAGGCAGGCAGGCAGGCAGACAGACAGACAGACAGACATAGATAGAAATATATATATATATATGTATATGTATATGTATATGTATATATATATATATATATATATATATATATATATATAATATAGATATAGATATATCTGTGTATGGATATAGAGATATAGATATAGATATATCTGTGTATGGATATAGAGATATAGATATAGATATATCTGTGTATGGATATAGAGATATAGATATAGATATAGCTCAGGGTTGAAATGAGGGCTCCTTGGTGCTCTCTGAGCTTGGTCCTCTTCTTGCAGATGTTTCATTACCCACCTAGTTTGGGTAGTGAAATGGCTGCAAGACAACAACCAAGCCTAGAGAGCACCAAGGAGCTATCATATATTTATTTATTTATTCGTATTGCTGTAAAGGTGGTCTTTTACTATTTTGTGAAAGCGTCGGCGTCTCCTTCCTGTTTCTAGCGCATTGGTAATTATTTGTTTGATCCAAGCTGTAAATGTAACAAAGTTTAACAGTCAATGTCTAATGATAACATTCCACCCCACCTCCCTCAGTAATAAAAGAGAAACAGAGAAGCACTACCTTAACATCACTTGTGTTAATTTTCCAGTCCCCCTGTGACTGGTCTGTGTTTTGCCAAATTAAAATTTGAACTATCAGCGGAGGGGGGGTGTATTTGTGTTTGCGAGTGTGCATGCACACAAAAGCGGCGGTAAGTGTCAACATTTTCTGAAGGGGTGGAAAAGCAACCTAGGTAGAGCGATGCTGATTTTTTTAAACGTCTCAGCGCGAAAGGAATAATTATTTCTCTTTCCACTCTTCTCTCTTTTGAAATCTATTTGTATTGGATTTAGAGTCATTAAAAGAAACATTATGGTGTTTTTTTTTAATTGTACGCCACAAAGACATTTGTCAAAGTAGTTTGAATAATAACATTGGAAGTCCTCAAATATTATTTAATCAACCTCTTAATGATTTCCTTAAGTGTCCAACCACCTATTACTTAAAAAAAACTTCTGTACTAAAAATTCCGCATCTTCACAACTATATCATTCACATAACTTGCTATAACCAATATATACTAATTAAATATATTGATAATTATCTGCTCCCTTACCAGTATGTATGGGAATGTATGGAATGAGTAGTATTTATATTTTGCTCTCATTTGTTCAAAGAACTAGTATTTACAAACTATCACAGATTGATTTAACAGTAACCTTACATAAAAGTCACATAACAATACTACTTTTCACAAGCTCATCTTTTACTTCTTTATATATTCCCAATTATCCTTTTCCTTTCCCTCTTTTCTCTGTCTTTCCTCTCTTCTCCTTACATCTCTTCAGGTTATTAGCTTTTCTTGTAACAAATGAACCATACATACCTTACCTCTTATCACATATTGTTTCTTTGACAGTCCTTCAAAAATTAATGTAAAACATTTTGCCTAATGGAAATTTTTAGACTGGGTTCAGTCTGCAACACCAATAAATCCTGAACAAGCTCCAGAGAGACACTTAGTAAGAGAATCTCTTACTCTATCCTGCTATTTCATTCTATACAGTACAATTGCAGCTTGCCAAAAAACAAGAACTATCTTTTCTGATACAGAGAAGGAGGATGGGGAGGGTGAGAAATACCTCTTGGCTCTGTCTAGAGTGCTGAGCTGCACGTACAGTGGGCGTGAGTGGATTGGCTCAGAGCATCCGGAACATTCTCTCATTTGCATCTCCTTTCCGCATCCAAGAGAAGCATCCTCAGCTGAAACTGGAACAGCACAGCACAGCATATTCCAATAGATGTTGTGATGGTGAATTATTTAAGAGAACTATTGGGGCAAACTGGGTAAGTATAATGGATTTGGGGACTGGAAATGCTTTGATAATAATGAAGTGCCAAAAATTGGAAGGTTTGTATTTTTTTAATAACACATACAAGTGACTTTAGGAAGACTAGAATTGATAAAAAGGGGGAGATAACTGCACAAGGCATAAAACTACTAATTGTTATTAATTCTGAAAGTTGAAGGAAACCTTCAAGAAATACAAGTCCAGTTGGCCAACATTACTCCTCCTTCCTTTTCCTCTTCTTCCCCTTTTATCCTTCCATTCTATTGAGTCCTTCCCAAGAAACAAATTAAATTTGTCTCAGCCAAATTATTTAATTCGTTTTTATTCTATTTTAAATTTCTGTATTTATGTGTTTTATTCTGTGGCTGTTCACCGCCCTGAGTCCTTCGGGAGTAGGGCGGTATATAAATCCAATAAAAACAAAAACAAAACAAAAAACAAGAACCTGAGATAGGCAGATGTTGTTAAAGATTCTCACAAGATGTAAACTATTCTGAGTAAAGCTACCTTTTGTAATTGATTGATAGTGATTTTTAATGCAGATTGTGTTCAAGTGGTGCTCTAGTTGTTTTGGGATGCACACAAGGAACCTATTACTATCTTTGCTATCTTTTGTCACACTCGTTCTACTTTTTTCTTCTATTTTGCTGGCTCCAGGTACTGCCACATCCACAATCCAGACTTTGTCTTTCTTATCAACAATTGTTATTTCTGGGATGTTATACGCAGGTGGTTGTCTATTTGAATAATAAAGTCCCAGAGCACTTTAGCTTCTTCATTTTTCATTATCTCATCTATTTTGTGATCTCACCAATTCTCACTTGCGGCGGGCAAATGGTATTTTTTGCGGATATTCCAATGCACTATTATTATTACTTTGTCATGCCGTTGTTTGTACTCAGTCTGTGCAATCTTGCAGCAGCTAACTAGAAGATCCACTGTTTTTTCAGCTTCTTCCCAGAGGTGGTATTTGCTGTCTGTTGCTGTCTTCTCAATTCTGGCTTTGTATGGATTTGTTAAGCTTAATCTTGTATTATTATTTTCAACTCAAGATGGGAAACATATCCAGTATGCCTGCATCTTGTTTTCCTAAGTTTGATTGGTAAGATATAGAATCGAATTGCTAGATTAAATTTCCTTCTGTCTGATCAAGCATATCTTATAATTTGGCTGCCCTCCATCCCCATCCTAATTCAGCTTCTGTACATACTACAAGGATCCTGTTACATTGCCCCCCTCCCCACGAAGCACTACACATGGAGGAACAGGTATTTGTAGGGATTAGTAGCTGCAGAATTTGCTGAACAGCTACCAATACTTCTGTTTTCTGTTAATTGGTGGTTTGTGAGTTCACTAAAAAATAAAGATGGGATTTCTACATAAAATCATTTCAAAAAGAAATATGCTCCATATTGTTTACAAATTATACAGGGTAAAACATTCCTACTATATCAAACTATATACCTTCTTTTCAGAAGGTAAAAAAAACATTTAAAACATGTTAACATTTAAAAGCAGCAGCAGCAGCAACAGCCAAAAGTCAGGGTCACTGAAGGTCTGTGGCTCAAACCAAAGAACTGAAACATAAAACCAGCGTAAGATAACAGTCCTGCATTTCCTAGGAATAGCAGGCTCCCAGACTCCCCTTGCTCATCACCACCATAATATTCTGGCTCACCTCCACTCCCATAATGACAACCCCAGCCACAAATTCAGGCCCCCAATTCCCAAAATCAGGAATCTCCCACTGTCCTCTGCAGCCATCCTTGATCAGGGAAGCCAAGCATCCAAGGCACCTTAGCTTCACTCTCTCTTAACATTACCAGAATACCTAGCCACCACCACCACCCCCGCCACAAGACACACACACACACACACACACACACACACACACACTGCAACACACATATACATATTAATACTCACTAATACACGAACCCTCCCCTAATGCTTCCACCACCTGATACCCTGTTTTCCTCAAAATAAGACATCCCTGATAATAAGCCCAATCAGGCTTTGGAGCGCATGGCAATAAGGCCTAGCACTTTTGAACCCTATTTCAGGATTCAAAAAAATATAAGACAGAGTCTTATTTTCAGGGAAACACAGTAGAGGGCTCCCATCCACATGCACACATTCCTATTCTCTGGTTCTCACCCAGGAGGAATCAGTCTTCAATCTATAGTAGGTCTAGCTCTAGCAGATGGATCATGTCCTCTTCCTTATTCTCAGGGTTATCCAGGAAAGTTAAAGTAGCTTCCGTGAGAAAAGGGGAGTCCACAATAGCCAGCAACCAACCAGATGGTACAGGAAGATGTCCAGCAGCTCTAACAGCAAAGGCCCCAGTGTCCAGCAGCAAGCACAATTGGTACAGCAAAGGTTTTTACATTTGCTTGTCTGTCACTGTGTTGTGAACATGTATATATTTACATCCAAAATGAAAACCAGAATTTGGATATGGAATTTGCTTCACCCAAACCCCAGGTTTATTCCTTACAAAACAAAACAAAACTTAACAATGTTTTCTGGCCACAAATATATATGCAGTTTCCAATAGGAGAGAATTTATGTAGTTTGGGTTTGAACTGTTAGAATCCTTGGTGCTCTCTGAACTTGGTTGTTTGTTGCAGATATTTCATTACCCAACCAGGTAACGTAATCAGTGCTAATGAGTGTGGGGTTTGCTCCCCATTTAAATACAATAGCTTGCTCTGCCAACGTTGGGGCTGGGATTGATGCTGTGGGTTTTCTCCTTGATAGTTCCCTTGATTAGAGTACTATTTTTTGTTTGTTTGCTTATCTGGGTGTAAGCTATTGAAGAGAATGTGTTCTGTTTCCTTTCTAGTTTTTTTTATTGTCATTTGAATGGTGTGTAAATATGGTTTATTTCTATGTGTCTATTGATGACTGATAGATCTGAATGCCAAGCTTCCAGGAATTCTCTAGCATTTTGGATTTAATTTGTCAGTTTCCAGTTAAAACTGGAAATGAGTTTTCATCATGTCTTTTAACTGCTGTATTATTTTCAATGCTTTCTTCAAATGCTACAATTCAGATAAATGGCTATCCAACCTGTTTAAAGATCTCCAGTGTTCTCCATGCTACTTCATATAGCAACCTATACTGATTGATAGCTCTTACCATCAGAAAATTCTTCTAAATACTTAGCCTGAATCTATTTCCCTGTAGTTTCAACACAGCAATTCTGGTTCTACTCTCCAGGATGACAAAACAAGTCCACTTCCTTCTCTATTTGGCAGCCCTTTAGATGGCTATCATATCTCCTTACAGTCACAAATGAAGCATAACCAGTTCCTTTAACTGTACCTCCTAGATTAGAACATGGTTACTACCTTCCTCACTACCTTGATAATCACATTGATGTCCACGCTATAGCACACTAAAATGAATGACCAGGTAGAATAGAATAAGTACTTCTCATAATCTGGATAATAAATCCCCGTTAATACACCCTCAAAAGAGTTTTGGGGTCTTTGGCAGCTGCCTAACCCTATTACCGTATTTTTTTGGACTATAAGATGCAGTTTTTCCACCCCCAAAAGTGGGTAGAAATGTCTGTGCGTTTTATAGAGCGAATATTGCAGCCGGGGGGAGAGGGGTTGGTGTGGCACTGATCAGCTGTTCTAGGTGGTGTGGATCACTGCTGCTGCATATTGCTGCTGCCGCCACCCGTTCGTGGCTATCAGTGGCAAACGGGCCACGGAGGCAGAAGCAGATTCTTTTTTTCTTGTTTTCCTCCTCTAAAGCTAATTTGTGTCTTATAGTCTGGGGCGTCTTATAGTCCAAAAAATATGGTAGCTGATGTTCAGCTTGTGATACACTAGAGCATCCAGTTATTATTTTTTTTATACTACTTCAAGCCAAAACTTCCCCATCCCAAAATGTGCTTTTCTTTTTTCTGCAGAGAAAGAATTTTCAGTTTTCCCTGCTAAATTTCATACTGTTCCTATTGGTTTACCGTTTGTATTTTTTTCTCTCTCTTCTAAAGTATAGGTAGTTCTGAACTTATGATAACAATTGAGCCTATTTCTGTTGAGTTTTGCCACATTTTATGACCTTTCTTACCACAGTTGTTAAGTGAATCACTACAGTTGATAAGTTAGTAACCTGGTTGTTAAGTGAATCTGGCTTCCCCATTGACTTGCTTGTCAGAAGGTGGCAAAAGGCGATCACATCATCCCAGGATGTTAAAACGGTCATAATTATGAACCAGTTGCCAAGCATCTGAATTTTGACCACATGATATGGGAATGCTGCAAAAGTTTTAACTGTGAAAAATCATGTCACTTTTTCCAGTGCCGTTGTAACTTTATATGGTCACTAAATGAACTGTTGTAAGTCAAGGTCTATCTGTATTAAACATTCCTTCTAGTTCTGTACCACCTGAACATTTTACAATAATCTCCCCCAGCCCCTTAAGATCCTTAATAAAAATGTTGATCAGCATAGTGCCTGAGGAAGAGCCTTCTGACACGCTACTCAATACTATCTTCAAAGTGATACAATTTATGAGTATTGTTTAGGGGCAGTCATTCAACCAATTATGAATCCATCTATCAATCTCATATGACCAATATTCTACCATTTTATTAATAAGGATGTAAGGAGACTTTGTTGAGGTCAAGATATGCTGTACCTGAGGAAAAAACCTGTTTCCCTCTACAAGGGGAGATTATATCCAAAAATAGAACTTTATAACAATACTGTAAGAGATTATGGCACGGGTGTCAAACTGGATCTGTTGAAGGAGATATATTCAGAATTGCACTATAAGAATCATGCATGCCTTGAGAATTTTTCTAACATTCTGGGATGAACATGTGCTTATCAGAGCTGTAACACCCATTCTTACAATACTGCTCAACATACTATCAAAAATTTCATGGCAAGATTACTTTGATTTCTGAGCAAAAAAATTACAGCACACACTGGAAATTCACTATCATCTGCAGATACAATCCTTCGTTACAGGCCTGGTCCACATAGTTTATTGATGTAATAAAACAATACAGTTAGTGTCATATCCAACCACAAAAAGAAAAAAAAATGAGTAGGTAGAATTTATTGTACAGCATGTAGAAAGAAAGATGTTTTGTGACTTATTTCCTAAATAAAAAAAAAATCCCAAGTATATTCAGCATTACTGAAAGCTATGTTTAATGGGGTGGGGGCGGGTCTGATGTTAATAGCAACAAGGTACTTAAAATCCAAAGCACTGAATTATTAGCAAGCAACAATGATGAAACAAGATAACTTTACTAAAAAAGCAACATGGTTTATGATTTTGTCTGAAATACCACCTCTACCAAACAAAGTAATGGGAACATTTAAGCTGTTGTTGGTATATTAGTATTAGCATGTACTGTCACAGCTATGAGCTAGGGAGAATTTTGAGTTGGTCAAAAACTTTAACATCGAAAATGGATTGTTTTTCAAATGAAATAAAATTTCTTAATATAAATAACAACAAGCTGCCCTGCTGGATCAGACCAAAAGTCCATCCAACCCAATCAGATGCTTCTAGAAAGTTCATAAACAAAGCATGAAAACAAAACCCTCTCCCAGCAAACTGTTAGGAGACACCTTATCTTCAAACACAGATGACCCTAAGACCATGTCTATTTTTTTTTAAGAAAAAGACATCTTTTGGAAAACCATTTCTAAAATGGCCATGTTGTGGCAGTGAATTCGTTTATTTGCAGAAAAATAAGAATTTAAAAAAGAAAAACAAATGATTTTCAACTGGTCTGAAGATCAAACTTATTTAGTGGGCCAATTTCAAAAACTCCAAAAGGAAGGGGGGAAAAACCCCTTCTATCCATCTGTTCTACAAATATTTGCATGAGATTCCATTATCTACTCCAATAATCTTTTTTCCTAACCTGAAAGTCTCCAGATGTTGCTAGCCTCACATGCGCAACTTGTTTCCCCCTAATCCTACTTTAATATTAAAACACAGTTATTTAGGAGCATCTTGAAATACAACATAACAAAAATATAGCACTACTCCAAAATTTCTACATAATTTCACGTGTAATTAACATAAAAGAGAAACAAAAAAGAAAAAAAAATGTTCATATTAAAAACTAGTTTTATAAACGCACAATATTGCATGAGGAACTGCTGGTATTTTGTTTATTTTCATAAGAAAATAGATTGTGCGACTGGCTACAAATGCACTGCTGCAAAGCAATATTTCTTTTTTTTAAAAAAAGGTAAAGTAAAAATTTATTCAAACATTAGAGATAACAGCACAAGGTGTCTTCAAGTATGCCTACAACCACATGATAGAAAGCTTAGACGAATTTATTGTGGCAATGTATCATCAGATAAAAATTCTTCAGTGACAAAACTCCTAGCCAAAATAAAAAATAAATAGTTTTTGAAAAGGTGCCTACTTCAAAGCTGTCATTATGAGTTATGTTCTAAATTTAACTGACTTGAACTGTTTATGTACCAAAAATGCATTCATTAGCCGAGTTAGTGAGAAAGAGAGAGAGAGAGAGAGAGAGAGAGAGAGAGAGAGAGAGAGAGAAAGAAAGAAAGAAAGAAAGAAAGAAAGAAAGAAAGAAAGAAAGAAAGAAAGAAGGAAAGAACTCATTATGTAAGAAATTGTCCAAAATAGAAAGAGGATCAGATACAAACTAACTGAATTAGTGCAGTATTTCTAGCCAGGCTTCTAAAATCAGATATAGAAAATATAAATACACTGCTTTTAGGTGGTAAATCACCAATGTCCAAGAAAACAGAACAATTATGAAGAGGGAGGTACAGGAAGAGAAGCTCAGTTGATCTGATCCAGGGCTCTGAACAACTCTTCACCTTGTAACAAGTTTCGGTTGCCTTGTATAGGAGCATTGACTTCACAATCATAGCTGGTAAGCTGTGGAAGTCCCTTCTCATCCATTGACTGCCCTAGAAGTTTACTTGCTATATCTACAAGGAAAAAGAAAATGAATGTTACTTGTACAGCATTCTGGAGCAACTAACTGAACAAATAAATAGACAAGTCACCTGTCATCTGTTAAGAGAATTTAGCTATGAGTATCTGATAACAAGGCTAAATGTAATGTTTCAATTTTACAGGGCAGCAGAGAACAGGTAAAACCCAGGGTCCTCGGTGTGGGACAAAGCCTTTCTCCTGACTGTGTGAATGATCGGTTAGATAATGCCCAGCTGATAATGCATTTTATTTTTTATTTTATCTATTCTATTTATTTTATTGTAAGTTGCCTATAGTCATGCAAAAGTGCAATGGGAGGCTATATATATTGAATACATTAAGGTGACGTATCCTTAAAAAATAAAACAGAATTATTGGGCCTATGGAAATATATCCTTTAAAAAAATAATATTTAACACAATATTAAATAAAAGGAGTAACTGAATTATTTTATTTGTTTGTTTCCATTTCTATACCGCCCTTCTCCAAATAGGACTCAGGGCGGTGAACAGCCAAAGTAAAAAACAGAACATACAAAATTTAAAAAACAGTTTAAAATAATTAAATATTTTGGCCGTAAATTAAAACAACCCAATTTAAAATCAATTTAATATTAAACTCAAGCCAGCCTAGCTAGTTGAAATAAATAGGTTTTCAGGGCCCGACAAAAAATCCAGAGGTCTGTTATTGTACGTAACTCTGGGGGGAGGTTGTTCCAGAGGGTGGGCGCCGCCACAGAGAAGGCTCTCCCCCTGGGGGTCGCCAGCCGACATTGTCTGGCGGACGGCACCCTGAGGAGGCCCACTCTGTGCGAGCGTACTGGCCGGTGGGAGGCTATTGGTAGCAGAAGGCGGTCTCGTAAATACCCCGGCCCTAAGCCATGGAGCGCTTTAAAGGTGGTCACCAACACCTTGAAGCGCACCCGGAAGACCATTAAGATGTACTCTTGCTCAGAAGAGAAACGGTGAAAGGAAATATTAAGTTATGCAACTACACATCTGTACATTTTTTTATTCCCCCCCCCCCCCCTGGACAATTAGACATTCTTCCCAACTAAATAATGGGAGAGTCCTATCTATCATTTTTATTATCTAAGAATGCCTCTGACATCTCTATG